GTAGGCAGTAGCCGAGGGTACACACCCCTAGTGTGGCAGGCAGTAACCTTGGGTACACCCCCTAGTGTGGCAGTCAGTAACCTAGGGTACACCCCCTAGTGTGGCAGGCAGTAACCTAGGGTACACCCCTAGTGTGGTAGGCAGTAGCCGAGGGTACACACCCCTAGTGTGGTAGGCAGTTACCTAGGGTACACCCCTAGTGTGGTAGGCAGTAGCCGAGGGTACACACCCCTAGTGTGGCAGGCAGTAACCTTGGGTACACACCCCCCTAGTGTGGCAGTCAGTAACCTAGGGTACACCCCCTAGTGTGGCAGGCCACACTAGGGGGTGTAGTACCACACTACATTTGAAAGACTCCATACAGTTTCGGATGAAAGATCATTAGTCCAAAAGGCTCAAGAACTTGTATACCTGTTGATTGACAATTGAGAGACTGGGACGAGAGCTGAAGTTCAACCCTCGCAAGTAAGGATAGTACGTCACCAGCATAAACATGGCCGTACTCTCGCCGGTATTGACTTTGATCAAAGCTCTTGAGTGAAGCTCGCAGAATTACCCTAAAATATTTGATATACCCTGCCCTAACCTAACCTGTCCTAAATCTTTAAATGTAATTCTAAGCTTTATATAGGTGCAAGGATTAAAATTTAATGAGTGCTTATATATATATATATATATATATATATATATATATATATATATATATATATATATATATATATATATTCTCTCTAAACACGTTTTCTCTAAACATTCCCAAGTGTTGAAGGCTTGTTGGTCCTATGTGATGTACCTCCTATATCCACCCATACCCATTAATATAAATAAACAACCATGTTTCCAAAAAAGTATTTACCCAGGTCTTTCCTGAATCTAAATTTCACCAATATATATGTATGACTCCAGTCGTCCGTCCGGTAAATGGGTTGTCTAGTGGCTTGAGGTTTATCGCATTTGTTTTTTCATGTAAATAAATGTGTTAGCAATGACAGATATATGTTGATTATGCCTGCTTGCACTTGTGTTAATGTCACTTGACCGACTTACCATAGCGCGAGACCTCAGTGGGCCATGTGCTGGACTTTCTTACACACCTGCAACCATATATTTTAAGTTGTCAGTCCTATAACCTTTATAGTCCTTATAGTCCATAATACAAAGTCCTTAACATTGGTGGGGAGTGTTGTAAGATGGCGGCGACCCTTGCATCGTGGTGCGAGCAGTTAATCCTGTAGAGGCTGGGGAAGGGGGAGGGGGGTTATTAAGGGATAAATTAGTGGCAAACCACGTCAGTAAAGGCGAGCAAGGAGCGACACACGCAAGCAGGGGAGGGAGCGAGCCTGGCAAGCAGGGGCGAGCCTGGCAAGCAGAGGGCGAGCCTGGCAAGCAGGGGGCAGGCCTGGCAAGCAGGGGGCAGGCCTGGCAAGCAGGGGGCAGGCCTGGCAAGCAGGGGGCAGGCCTGGCAAGCAGGGGGCGAGCCTGGCAAGCAGGGGGCGAGCCTGGCAAGCAGGGGGCGAGCCTGGCAAGCAGGGGGCGAGCCTGGCAAGCAGGGGGCGAGCCTGGCAAGCAGGGGGCGAGCCTGGCAAGCAGGGGGCGAGCCTGGCAAGCAGGGGGCGAGCCGGGTCTCCTCGCCACAACATCAATAGATTACCATCAACTTTGCATATAGGACGGCACCTTATCACCCAGAATTGGCCGCTCGACTCACATTTAGAAAGCATTTTATGGGATTTATCACATGGTGGAATTACTGGGGGAGTTTATGGGCTGTCTCATCTGAACTACACTTGGCAGTGAATTAAGATACAGTAAGGCATTCTTGAAAGGATTATCTTGTGTGGATGCTGTTTATAGTGTAACTGGAGCTGTTGTCTGAAGACACTTAAGGTATATACACTTGAGCAAGAGTATATACCGAGAGTTTAGTCCTGGATTATGTTCAGGACTAAACTTTACTTGCTGGTTGGTTAGTAATCTGTTGGCGTTGCCTTAATGACCCTCCAAAGGTTTGATTGGCCTTAAGCACAACACCAAACTGTGTGTTGGTGTTCAGGACACCGTCACTTGTTCCTCGCGTGTGGCTGGTCGTTGTTAATGGTAACTGTTGTGGGTGACGAGCAGTATGGTCGGCATTAATGCTGGGTGGAATTTACCACTGACCTAAGACGATAGCAAATCCTGGAAGCTATACTTATAAGAGAAAAAGCGCCATAAATATACATAACAACAACTTCGTTTCCTTGCCAACACTGAGACCCAGATCTCGCCAACCATGACAGGATGATGACGTCTCTACCGAGGTGTCTCAGCCCAACGACAGTACCAGGGTCTTGCCTAATGTTTGACTGGCGGTGATGACTTTTTGTTGTCTTCTAACGTGTGAATATCGTCCAAAAACATTTAGATTTCAAGGTGTATTTAATGCTTTTTTGGTTTAGACAAGAAGTGACAGTTTATACCAAGATTCAAGATTCAAAACTGTGTATGGAGTCAGCCTCCACCACAACACTGTCTAATGCATTACATTTGTTAATTAATCTGACAATTCAAAAAATTCTTTATAATATCTCTGTGGCTCATTTTGGGTATCAGGTTTCCACCTGTGTCCCCTTGTTCGTGTTCCACCCGTGCTAAATAGTTTGTTTTTTTCCACCCTTTCAATTCCCGAGAATTTTGTAGGTGGTGATCATGTCTCCGCTTACTCTTCTGTCTTCCAGGGACGTGAGGTTTAGCTCTCGTAGCCTTTCCTCGTAGCTCATACCATTTCTGGGACTAGTCTGGTTGCATACCACTCAGTTCTGGGACTAGTCTGGTGGCATACCACTCAGTTCTGGGACTAGTCTGGTGGCATACCACTCAGTTCTGGGACTAGTCTGGTGGCATACCACTCAGTTCTGGGACTAGTCTGGTGGCATACCACTCAGTTCTGGGACTAGTCTGGTGGCATACTTCTAAATCTTCTCTGTCTTGTGTTCAACTAGGTATGGACTCCAGACTGGAGCTGCATATTCCAGGATTGATCTGACATAAGTGGTATACAAGGTCCTGAACGATTCCTTACACAAGTTTCTAGAGGCAGTTCTTATGTTGGCCAGTCTAGCATATGCCGCTGATGATATCCTTTTTGTGTGGGCCTCTGGGGACAGGTTCGGTATGATATCAACCCCCAAGATCTTTCTCTCTATTTGACTCTTGCAGGATTTCCATCTCCCAGATGGTACTATGTTTTCAGCCTCCTGCTCCCTTCGCCTAATTTCATTACTTTACACTTTCCTGAGTTAAACTTTTGTAGCCATTTTCTAGACTATTCCTCCAGTTTGTCCAGGTCGTCCTGTAGTCTTTGTCTATCTTCATCTGTCTTGATTCTTCTCATAATTTTTGCATCATCAGCAAACATTGAGAGGAATGAGTCTATACCCTCTGGAAGATCGTTTACATATATATAAAAAAAAGGTTGGGTCCAAGTACAGAGCTCTGTGGGACTCCGCTGGTGACATCTCACCACTCTGATGTCTCCCCCCTCACAGTTACACGCTGCTTCCTGTTGTTTAGATACTCCCTTATCCACTGGAGCCCCTTACCTTTTACTCTTGCCTGTTTTTCTAGGTTTTGTAACAGCCGTTTATGGGGTACTGTGTCAAAGGCTTTTTAACCGTCCAAGAAAATGCAGTCTGGCCACACTTCTCTTTCCCAGTGTATGCCCACATTCATGTTAATTTGTCTCGGATTTCCTGTAAACAAGTTTTTTAGTGAAAGGAAAGTATACAGCGACAAATGTGAAGCACCCAATATAATATTAGTTTCAGATACTGAGTTCTTTGTTCACTCGTGTTAAGGATGAGAACAGTGTAGGAAAGATCGTCTTCATAACCTGTTGTTGGGTTCAGGTTCATCAAACTATCCATGTTTAACATAATTTTACAATTCCATCCTCCACGAATGATGTACAGTGGTGGAGGATGGTACAGTACAGGTACTATGGGTGGAATGTACATGATGTGAAGTATTGTTCTCAAACAGTTCACGTTTTGTACTTTTGTAATACTATATAAGGCACGCCAAAAGGTGGAACAGTAACTCTAAGCCTAACCTGTCCTGTACTAATCCTAATATACTCCATGTTAGGCCTAATTTGTACACACATGCTATACTAGGCCTGGCAAAGTTCAGATTTGTTTGTTGTCTTTTTTCTCGGAGCAGTTACATCAGTTATAGTAGAAAATATTTTTTTTGTATGTGCAACGATCCACATTGTGTACTTGCATACATAATAATAATATATAGTAATGTTTGTGGATGGCCTGTTACAGCAGTGAATAAGAAGAGGCGCAGTAGTGGATAACTTGGTAAATAAGGCCCTAGTCAGAGGTCTCCATGCACCTTCCTGCACCTGCTTCATGGGGTTCTGGGAGTTCTTCTACTCCCCAAGCCCGGCCCGAGGCCAGGCTTGACTTGTGAGAGTTTGGTCCACCAGGCTGTTGCTTGGAGCGGCCAGCAGGCCCACAGGCCCACCACAGCCCGGTTGGTCCGGCACCATTTTTAGAAAACAGTCTAGTTTTCTCTTGAAGATGTCCACGGTTGTCCAAAATAATCTCATCTTCTTGCTCATTAAATAACATAATTTATTTTCCAGAAGGTTTTCAGAATGGTAATTTAGAAATACTGATAACATTGCTGTGTTTGTATTCTGAATGTCATATTCTACCTCTATTCTTCTTGTAGTTAATGAAATTAATATTTCTATTATAGATTGCTGGCGGGCGCAGACAACATATTTTCAAAATAATGAATGTATTTTTTTACTCTTTATATTCGGTCTAAATTATTTAATAATATATTAAGTAATATTAAATATTAGCATAGTTGTAACTGTGTATTTAGATATAAATTAGCCATTTATAATATATTTTTGAGGTATTAGGTTTGGGTGTAAGTTAGCGTGGAGGAGCTGTGTGTGTGTGTGTGTGTGTGTGGATGATAACGCCAGTTTCCCTCCCCAGACGAGCCAGCATAAGGGCCACACAAGGGTATGACACGAGGTTTGTTCCACTTCATTATTTGCTGTGTGTTTGGCGCCCCGCCACCACCACCACCACCACCACGGGTCTTCCCGCGCCCTCTCACGCCCTCTCCAATACCCTCTCTCACAAATAAATAAATTAATTAATTAATTTATTAATGTCACTGTTGAAAGTAATTGATTTTGCCTTTGATTCTCGAAGCGGGAAATTGCACGGGGCCAGAAATGACGGATAAAATTACTGGTGAACACATTATTGTAAATGACGAGTGAGGCAAAGTAAACTCCCAACATTTTTATATTAATAGTTTAATTAATTCTCGCGTTGATCATATTTGTTGAACTGAGCGTAAAGTGTTACTGCTTCAGGGGCGTATAAACATGATTATAATAATTACAGTCAATATTTATAAATTTAAAACAAAAATGTAATAATAATATTGTCTTAGAATATGACCACATATTGTGTGTAGGCATTTAGTTGATGAGAGAGGAGAGGGTGGGAGTGGCGGCCCACATGTGGAGACCTGGCTCATTGTGCTCCACACCTGGCTGTGTACACATATGTGGCTCAGTGTTGACAAGCCTGGCCGGGTGCACCTTCACCTACCACTGCTGTAGCCTCACCTTGTGTATATCTAACACGTGTTGCTCATGTTTGTACCGTTTAGCGCACCTCTCAGTGTACCGTGTCTGGTGCTTGTGTGCTTGTTTTACTCTGTGTTGTCACACATTTTACAATCACTTTTGCTTTCTGTGTCGGTCGCTTTTGTGTTGTATATTATTGCACTTGAATGGTTGTGATGGCGTGTGGGAATGTTTCAGCTGTAGACAGTGTTTAACTCTTGGTGTCTGCTGTCAGGGTTGTAACTCAAGGCTTGGTACACTAAACCATTAAACCTGGAGTAACACCACCTGGATCCAACATCTTCTACCTTTTTATCTGTGTTCTATAATGATAACACGACAAGCATTAAGTAACGAAGGTTCGCTTTGATTCATGTTGTAACTATAATGTTAGTAACTAGTATTAGATATAGTTTAGAGGGGTGCGTTTATTCCCCTTGTTAGTTGATGTTAATATTCTGTTTGTTACACGCATGTCAGTTTAACGGAATGATCTTAATTATTGCTTAGTCGTGGAGTTTGTCCCTAGTGAACTTTTTGTGTGATCATTGGGGGAGTGTTGACGCTGTTATGAAGACATGGGGCGGTGAGGGCCAGCTGGTGGTAGACCTCCAGGGCCAGCTGGTGGTGGACCTCCAGGGTCAGCTGGTGGGTGGACCTCCAGGGCCAGCTGGTGGTGGACCTCCAGGGTCAGCTGGTGGGTGGACCTCCAGGGCCAGCTGGTGGGTGGACCTCCAGGGCCAGCTGGTGGGTGGACCTCCAGGGCCAGCTGGTGGGTGGACCTCCAGGGCCAGCTGGTGGGTGGACCTCCAGGGCCAGCTGGTGGTGGACCTCCAGGGTCAGCTGGTGGGTGGACCTCCAGGGCCAGCTGGTGGTGGACCTCCAGGGTCAGCTGGTGGGTGGACCTCCAGGGCCAGCTGGTGGGTGGACCTCCAGGGCCAGCTGGTGGGTGGACCTCCAGGGCCAGCTGGTGGGTGGACCTCCAGGGCCAGCTGGTGGGTGGACCTCCAGGGCCAGCTGGTGGTGGACCTCCAGGGTCAGCTGGTGGATGGACCTCCAGGGCCAGCTGGTGGGTGGACCTCCAGGGCCAGCTGGTGGGTGGACCTCCAGGGCCAGCTGGTGGGTGGACTGGGAGGGCCAGCTGTGTGCTCAGAGCCCTCCTGTGCGTGGCGGCACTGTTGTCTGGCGCGGTAATGGTCTAGTGTCTCATAAGGGAACTTAGCGTCGCGCTTAATTGTAATGAATTACTCTCTTGATATTAAGCTCTCCCGAGTGTTCCTTCCGCTTGTCTTAACGGAGCGGCCAGCACCAAGGGCCTCCCTCAAGGGCCCTCACATCCCCCCCTCCTCCTCCTCCTCAGACACTCACCCCTCTTCTCTCCTGCTCTTGTCTTATCCCACTTGACCTCTCCTGGCTCCCTATGTCGTCTCTCTCTCTCTCTCTCTCTCTCTCTCTCTCTCTCTCTCTCTCTCTCTCTCTCTCTCTCTCTCCTCTTCTTCTTTTTCTTCGTCTTCGTCTCCTCCCCCCCCCCATCCTCACTAACCAGCGAACAGTCTGTGTTCGTCGTCACATTTGATCACAAAAACAAATAAACAATTTTGTATGAAGTTAAATTTAAGAACGTTCAAAAAATTTAAAGAAAGGTTAAATTACTGCAGAAGTTTAAGATATTACACTTGATAAAAGAAGTGGGCCAACTGTGACCAGCGTGACTTACGCCACCAAGAAGTGGTAATGAAGAAGCGCCGTCTCTACCATCCACTTGAACTGGACGATAAGGCGACGGTCTGGCTTCTTGTGGAGGCGGCCGTCTTCACCAGAGATGTGGGCCCAGGAAGACAACCAGGTGGGCAGGAAGACAGCCAGGTGGGCCCAGGAAGACAGCCAGGTGGGCAGAAAGACAGCCAGGTGGGCAGGAAGACAGCCAGGTGGGCAGGAAGACAGCCAGGTGGGCCCAGGAAGACAGCCAGGTGGGCAGGAAGACAGCCAGGTGGGCAGTAAGACAGCCAGGTGGGCAGGAAGACAGCCTGGTGGGCCCCAGGAAGACAGCCAGGTGGGCAGTAAGACAGCCAGGTGGGCCCCAGGAAGACAGCCAGGTGGGCAGGAAGACAGCCAGGTGGGCCCCAGGAAGACAGCCAGGTGGGCAGGAAGACAGCCAGGTGGGCCCCAGGAAGACAGCCAGGTGGGCAGGAAGACAGCCAGGTGGGCCCCAGGAAGACAGCCAGGTGGGCAGGAAGACAGCCAGGTGGACAGGAAGACAGCCAGGTGGGCAGGAAGACAGCCAGGTGGGCCCCAGGAAGACAGCCAGGCAGGAAGACAGCCAGGTGGGCAGTAAGACAGCCAGGTGGGCAGGAAGACAGCCTGGTGGGCCCCAGGAAGACAGCCAGGTGGGCAGGAAGACAGCCAGGTGGGCCCCAGGAAGACAGCCAGGTGGGCAGGAAGACAGCCAGGTGGGCAGGAAGACAGCCAGGTGGGCCCCAGGAAGACAGCCAGGTGGGCAGGAAGACAGCCAGGTGGGCAGTAAGACAGCCAGGTGGGCAGTAAGACAGCCAGGTGGGCAGGAAGACAGCCAGGTGGGCAGTAAGACAGCCAGGTGGGTAGGAAGGCAGCCAGGTGGGCAGGAAGGCAGCCAGGTGGGCAGTAAGACAGCCAGGTGGGCAGGAAGACAGCCAGGTGGGCAGGAAGACAGCCAGGTGGGCAGGAAGACAGCCAGGTGGGCAGGAAGACAGCCAGGTGGGCAGGAAGACAACCAGGTGGGCAGGAAGAGAGCCAGGTGGGCAGTAAGACAGCCAGGTGGGCAGTAAGACAACCAGGTGGGCCCCAGGAAGACAGCCAGGTGGGCAGGAAGACAGCCAGGTGGACAGGAAGACAGCCAGGTGGGCAGGAAGACAGCCAGGTGGGCAGGAAGACAGCCAGGTGGGCAGGAAGACAGCCAGGTGGGCAGGAAGACAGCCAGGTGGGCCCCAGGAAGACAGCCAGGTGGGTAGGAAGACAGCCAGGTGGGCCCCAGGAAGACAGCCAGGTGGGCCCCAGGAAGACAGCCAGGTGGGCAGGAAGACAGCCAGGTGGGCCCCAGGAAGACAGCCAGGTGGGCCCCAGGAAGACAGCCAGGTGGGCAGGAAGACAGCCAGGTGGGCAGGAAGACAGCCAGGTGGGCAGGAAGACAGCCAGGTGATACATCACTAGCCTCCGCGTCATCACCAACAATAACGGCAGCAGCAGGTGTCTCAATAAGGTGATCAACTACAAAGTCAGCGGCCAAGATCACCAGGTGATCAGACAACCAGATAACAAGTGTAACCACTTGATAGTGATCAAGTTGGCATCTTGGTGATGATGTTTGGCTGGTCTATGACCCAGGTGAGGCACGTGCTGAACCTGCCAAACAAGGCAGCCTAGACTCACAGCCCTATGGAACAGTCTGCATCTTCTCGGAACCATCACTCCATCTACTTCTCGCTGCATTTTCCCAATGAAATATATATCACGTTAGTGTGATTGTGTGTGTCTGTTCCACTCCTAATGAACCCTAACCTTAGTTTAGCTAACAAGGAAAGTTATGGGGGGGAGCAGGCATTTGACCGGGATGGGAGGGAGGAGACATTTGACAGGGACGGGAGGGAGGAGAGTGAGGGGAAGATAAGGCACGCTGCCATTCACCAGGTAGGTGACGCTGGGACAAGATAGTGCAGTCTCCGCCTCCCTGCTTCAGACTTGTGCGGGTGCCACCTGCTGCTGCTGCACAGACAAGGCCAAGGACGGTAACGTGTGAGTGTGTGTGTGTGTGTGTGTGTGTGTGTGTGTGTGTGTGTGTGTGTGTGTGTGTGTGTGTGTGTGTGTGTGTGCGTGCGAGTGCGTGTGCTATGCAGTTAGGTACTGTGAGTGAGAGAGTTGAACTTAGTTCATTATGCTTCCATACCCGTACTGTGAGCAGTAGTGCACAAGATTACAGAGGCACATTCATAACCCCAAAGTTGGCTTAGCTAAGTTAGTTTATGAGTTATGTAGTGTGTGAAGGAGGGGTAAAGGGCGGGGTCTTAGGTATTGTGTGAGAGAGGTGCGAGAAGGAAGTCACACTAACAAGTGCTGCACTTTGATTTATTATTCAAAACAAACCTGGCTTGGGGAAAACCCTTTCTTGCGATATCTTAATATTCATAAATGTTTCTACATTATGAATAAGCCACAGTAACATATAATTATGAAGTGTATAACCTCCATTTAGATTTAGAACCTATATTTGTCAATCTATATTGACAAATATAGGTTATATATAGGTTCGGGCGAGGCAGTAGCATTCTCGATGATCCTGTAGAGACAAGACGCCGGTTTCAACATACAAGCTCTGGGTAAAATACTGAACGAAAGGCACCAGAGCCGAGGAGCTCTCCAGTATGATGCTGACCATCGAAACGACGAAGGGTCAAGGGAGAGGCAAAGGAATAGGCAGGGCGGCCATAATTGAGTTTAGACAGCACGGAAGAGGAGGGCAAATAGAGGAAAGTGCGTGTATGACCTTCATAGGAATTATAGGACGGGGGCCAGACTCACGAAGCAGTTACGCAAGCACTTACGAACGTGTACATCTTTCCTCAATCTTTGACGGCTTTGGTTACATTTATTAAACAGTTTACAAGCATGAAAACTTACCAATCAACTGTTGTTATTGTTATAAACAGCCTCCTGGTGCTTCGGAGCTCATTAACTGTTTAATAATTGTAAACAAAGCCGCCAAAGATTGAGAAGAGATGTACAGGTTCGTAAGTGCTTGCGTAACTGCTTCGTGAATCTGGCCCCCGGACTTTAAGTAAGGTAAAACCTAATCCTTAGAGCATTCAACTCGGAGGTGAGAGATATGGGGTGACCAAAACAAATGAGTGTCAAAGATCAATCCCAAACGTTTAGCAGTATCTTTATTCAGAAGGAGATTACCATATGGTGACAATGGGGGACGGGGACGTTATCCCTTCGTATACAAGTCATAGCACATGTCTTAGTTGTAGAGAACCTGAAGCCATGATTGATGGCCGAGGATAACACTTATCAACAGCAAGTTGGAGCTGGTGTTGGAGAAAAGGGGACTCATCACAGCAACAGCAGAGTGAGATCAACATAAAGTGCTGGTAAAATGGCAGGACGAAGGGAGGGAGGAAGACCATTTATGGTGACAAGGAAAAGAGCGTAATGCTCAAAACACTAATGTGGAGAACAGCTTCATATTGCTGAAAAGAGTGAGAAAAAGTGTTACAAGTTTCTTTAAATGAACAACGAGAGAGGAAGTGCTGAAGGCCACAAAGGCCAAAAGGATGTGGTTATCTCCAGGTGGTGTCAAGCCTTTACCAGGTCAGAAATAACAGCAACAACGGAGGTATTCTCAGTGAAGGCGATGCGAGTGTAGACGTCTAAGTCCACTAAGATATCATTCGTGCTGTGACACTTGTCAAAGCCAAATTGAGAGGTGAGAGAGGTAATGATGACGTCCCAAGACTACGTGAGACATACATTAACCATATGTTATAAAGCTTGCAGACACAACTTGTCAGGACACTGGGGCAAAAATCCTTATGTATCAGGTTTCTGGACGGGAAGAACAACTATTCATCAAATGCAACTATTAAATAATGACGAAGCACCTCATAGGGAATGTCGCCTGAGCGCGCTACCATAAAAATGCAGAGGAACACAGCAGACTGGAGTTTCAGAAAGAAGAAAGAGATCGTTATAGGGGATCAGTAGGTGAGTGGGAACGGCCAAGGGAGAAGATTCAGTAAGGGGGCTCACGAGTAAGGACAGTAGGAGGAAGTCGAGTACCGGAGCAACGGTTGAGAAGGACGAGCCTACTTCACTGGCGACCACCACTGGATCTCTGCGACGGAACCACGGACATGGACAGGCAATATAGCTGGAACAAATTTACCCGCAGTCGTATAGATTTTCTGACACATCTGAGTGAGAGGGGTTAACAGTAACGGTGGAGACATAAGATTTCCAACTGTAACATTTAGCTGTATGGATGGCCCTATGAGCCACTACACTCGCCTTACTAAACAAAATAAAAGAATGGGGTATTTGTCGGCGGTCGAGACTTTCAAAGGCCAGACGCTTACCCGAGAGACCCGGAGCACTGAGAGCACACGGCGAGGTGGGAGGCGTTGGAGACACTGGCGGCAAGGACCAGCAGCAAGGACGCCCAGAGGTACTTGTTGTGAGGGATGAGGTGTTGTGGAGGCCGGCAAGGCTGAGGTAGCCCCCTGGCACCACCAGGGTCACGCATCACTCTATTGTTTGACCTCATTGATGTCTGGCGTTCCAGGCACACGTGACCACTTCTGTCCTCACCTTGACATTGTTCATTTTATTTATTTATTTTATTTATTTATATAAAAGAAGGTACATTGGGTTGCGAGAGTACATAACATTGGTGTGCTTACAATCTTGCAAAACCACTAACACGCATAGCGTTTCAAGCATGTCCTTAATCTAACCCGAGAAAATAAGAGTAATTAAAAGGGATATTGTAGCAGAATTTGATTACAACATAATAACTACAATAAAAGTTGATAGTTTTGATTATACTGGTGATGTTGCATGTTCTGAGTGTTAATACTGGATGAGTGGGTGGCACAAGATAGAAAACTATGAGGGGGGGGCAATTAGGTACTTTTTGGTTTTACGTTTTAAGAATTCATAGGTTGGGGAAGTTTTGAATTCATTAGGGAGCGAGTTGCATAGACTGGTTCTGTTATTGTGACCTTCGTCGTCACCTGTGTGGCTGCTCACCACTACCTCGCCTCTCCCCGTCCCCCCATAATAGCTCGGACCCAGAACTGCTCAGTGACCCTCCAGGACCCACAACTGCTCAGTGACCCTCCAGGACCCACAACTGCTCAGTGACCCTCCAGGACCCAGAACTGCTCACTGACCCTTCAGGACCCAGAACTGCTCACTGACCCTTCAGGACTGCTCGGTGACCCTCCAGGACCGCTCGGCAACGCTCCAGGTTGCAGCTGGAGCAGATGATGATGGCATGTTACCCTCCTACACCCCATCCTTGTCAAGCAAGGCTGCCATACTTACCAATATTGATGTGATCTCTCTCACCAGTGTAGGGCTAAATCCTTCTGATGACGAGGCCCAGGAGACGAGTGTTATGGCAATACCAAGTGCGGGAGACCATCTCTCTCTCTCTCTCCGGCAGAGAACAGTCTGTATGGAAGATAGTGAGCACTTGCACTAGTGTGTGTGTGTGTGTGTGTGTATGTGTGTGTGTGTGTGTACAGTAGGAATATGTTTAACACATTTTACACAGCAATATTAACGAATATCATATAGGCAAAATGTTCAATAAGGAAATTATGATCTTCATGCCAATATTTGGACTGCTGCTCTCACTCGTTTTATTTATGTCGTATCAAATTATATTGACTTTTTAGACCGCGAAAAATATCTAAAAAATACGAAACTTTGACATGAAAAAATGTATGCGTTGTAAAAAAAAACAATTATAATTATTGGATAACTAGTTTTACTAAATACTTACCGCGGGGTGCAACTTGCATGACTACTTGTACTGTTGGCGGAGAGTGGTAGACTACTCGTGGAGTAGTTGGTGTACAGCTGATGGACAACTGGTAAACTACACCGGTGCTGGAAGGTTGAGAGTATACTGAGATATACTTTTGTATACTTCTCCCAGCTGCCGCCTTCATCACGGTAAAACGCTCACACAATAACCCAATGTTACTGCAAGTCTGTGAAAGACAACTTAGGTTATGGGGACAATTACAAGTTTACTTCACTTGCTCAAGGCATAAATTGGCGCCAAATAGCCATCAACCTTATTAATATATCTATAAATTGTGTTTTTTGAAGTACAGATATTAGTTTCGAATTTGATGTTTGCTTTTGAAACTAGGCAAGAGTAGGGAAGAACTAGGGAGACGCCAACACTAAACATCTCCATTATTGCCACTAATGATGTTCTTTTACATTTCTCTTCCTGGTTCTCGGTGGATTGACTATCTTAACATGACCGCCGCTGCTCCACACCTCGTCCTCTGCCTGGCTGCTCCACACCTCGTCCTCTGGCTGCTGACCTCGTCCTCTGCCGCACAGAAGCACGTCCCCTGGGAGCACCCTGAGCGTGGATACTCTGAGTGTGGGCGGGGGGTCTAAGACCAACTCTCTGCCAAGACCGACGTCTCCCTCGCCATCCATCATGAGTGACAAGACCATCACACAAGAGGACCCCACTGTAAGTACCTCGGATGTGTCCTCTGCGGCGCTTTCCTGACCCCAGGCCAACACTGGTTGTACTCAGGCCAAACCTTCCTGGCCCCAGGCCACCACTGGTTATCGTATCTTGCGGTCGTTGGAACAAACTACGCGTGTAAACACTGTTAAACTCTGCCTGACACAGCAGTCAGCATACATAATAATCTGGCCACTGAGAGAGTAAATAGTAAAATAACAAAATAATATTGGTAATGGGGTCAACACAACACCGGTGGTGTGTGTTGACCACGGCACCGGTGGTGTGTGTTGACCACGGCACCGGTGGTGTGTGTTGACCACGGCACCGGTGGTGTGTGTTGACCACGGCACCGGTGGTGTGTGTTGACCACAGCACCGGTGGTGTGTGGCGACCACAGCACCGGTGGTGTGTGGCGACCACAGCACCGGTGGTGTGTGTTGACCACGGCACCGGTGGTGTGTGTTGACCACAGCACCGGTGGTGTGTTGACCGTGCTCTCAGAAACAAGTGAAGGGGGTAAAGAACAAGGAGAGAGTATAAAGGAAGAGAAATAGACTCGGGGGACCAAGTTTATCGGGCGAGGCAGACAGGAAATCCTCTTCTGGGCTCCACCACTTCTTGATAAAGGTTGTCCCGCTGACCACCCACTGGGGACCCGCCGCCCTGGAGGTGGGCCGCTGGTGAGGCTGATAAGGGTGTAGTTTATTTATTTATTTTTATTTATTTATTTATATACAAGAAGGTACATTGGGATTGTGAGGATACATGGTATAGTAAGTAATACACGGGTGTATTACTGTGTATTATAGGTATAGTAAGGATACGCGGGTGTAGCCACCGCTGCGGGCGGGTGTTGTCGTGGGCTACAAGTGGGTGGAGCAGTGGGTGCTGGGGTGGAGCAGTGGACGGAACTGATCTCTTACAGAAGCCACCGCCGCCTATAAGGAACAGTGTTATCACTAACACAATAACATCAAGACACTGAGGAAGGTTCTAACAAACAACGATCAAAAAGTTGACATATGACACACCGGGACAAGAAGATAGAAGAGCTTAAGGAACAAGAACAAAGCTGGAGCCTGGCAGCGCGCCAAGACCTGTGTCCAAACTTACCCCATTTTTGGCCCCATGAAGGTAATGATCCCAGTGGGTAATGATCAGCGATGGTCTGGAGAATGGTGACTGTGTGTCCTCCACCACCACCACCACGGGGCTGAGGCTGGTCTCTGTCTCTCTCTCATTATATATATATATATATATATATATATATATATATGCGAACAAGCCTGAATGGTCCCCAGGACAATATGCAACTGAAAACATATATATATATATATATATATATATATATATATATATATATATATATATATATATATATATATACTGTGTGTGCGTGTGTGTACTCATCTAGTTGTGTTTGCGGGGGTTGAGCTCTGGCGCTTTGGTCCCGCCTCTCAACTGTCAATCAACTGGTGTACAGGTTCCTGAGCCTACTGGCCTCTATCATATCTACATTTGAAACTGTGTATGGAGTCAGCCTCCACTTAGCTGCTTTTACTTAGCTGTGTGTGTGGTGCCTAATAACCAGATCCGCATTACTTGGCCTAGTATGCACGGTCCGATTTGCCTAACAGGCCGAATGATTTTCGTTTACAATTTTGCTGTTTCCCTGTGGATACCCGCCCACCTGCTTGGTGAGCACGGAAGTGTATGTAGGTGTCAGCCAGGGTGGATACACACGTGTAGTCCCACACCAGCTGTCTGCCCCTCTGTCAGGGGTACATTGTGATGCCGTCTGGGTTAAGTGCCGGACTGTCCGGGTTTTGGGCCGTCAGGATGCGAGGTAATATTTCTGCTGGACACTGACCTGAGGCAAGACTCCTCTTGTTGATGTCATTAACTAGGTTAATGACCTCCTGGCCGTCAACACCCACCCCATCCCCCTCCCTGGCCGTCAACACCCACCCCATCTCCCCTCCTGGCCGTCAACACCCACCCCATCCCCCTCCCTGGCCGTCAACACCCACCCCATCCCCCTCCCTGGCCGTCAACACCCACCCCATCTCCCCTCCTGGCCGTCAACACCCACCCCATCTCCCCTCCTGGCCGCCAACACCCACCCCATCTCCCCTCCCTGGCCGTCAACACCCACCCCATCCCCCTCCCTGGCCGTCAACACCCACCCCATCCCCCTCCTGGCCGTCAACACCCACCCCATCTCCCCTCCTGGCCGTCAACACCCACCCCATCCCCCTCCCTGGCCGTCAACACCCACCCCATCCCCCTCCCTGGCCGTCAACACCCACCCCATCCCCCTCCTGGCCGTCAACACCCACCCCATCTCCCCTCCTGGCCGTCAACACCCACCCCATCTCCCCTCCTGGCCGTCAACACCCACCCCATCCCCCTCCCTGGCCGTCAACACCCACCCCATCCCCCTCCTGGCCGTCAACACCCACCCCATCCCCCTCCTGGCCGTCAACACCCACCTCATCCCCCTCCTGGCCGTCAACACCCACCCCATCTCCCCCCCCTGGCCGTCAACACCCACCCCATCCCCCTCCCTGGCCATCAACACCCACCCCATCTCCCCTCCTGGCCGTCAACACCCACCCCATCTCCCCTCCTGGCCGTCAACACCCACCCCATCCCCCTCCTGGCCGTCAACACCCACCCCATCTCCCCTCCTGGCCGTCAACACCCACCCCATCTCCCCTCCTGGCCGTCAACACCCACCCCATCTCCCCTCCTGGCCGTCAACACCCACCCCATCTCCCCTCCTGGCCGTCAACACTCACCCCATCTCCCCTCCTGGCCGTCAACACTCACCCCATCTCCCCTCCTGGCCGTCAACACTCACCCCATCTCCCCTCCTGGCCGTCAACACCCACCCCATCTCCCCTCCTGGCCGTCAACACCCACCCCATCTCCCCTCCTGGCCGTCAACACCCACCCCATCTCCCCTCCTGGCCGTCAACACCCACCCCATCTCCCCTCCTGGCCGTCAACACCCACCCCATCCCCCCCCATTGGCCGTCAACACCCCACCCCCCTCCTGGCCGTCAACACCCACCCCATCTCCCCTCCTGGCCGTCAACACCCACCCCATCTCCCCTCCTGGCCGTCAACACCCACCCCATCTCCCCTCCTGGCCGTCAACACTCACCCCATCTCCCCTCCTGGCCGTCAACACTCATCCCATCTCCCCTCCTGGCCGTCAACACCCACCCCATCCCCCCCCCTTTGGCCGTCAACACCCCACCCCCCTCCTGGCCGTCAACACCCACCCCATCTCCCCTCTTGGCCGTCAACACCCACCCCATCCCCCCCCCTCTGGCCGTCAACACCCACCCCCCTGGCCGTCAACACCACCATTGTCTCCCCAGGCGGCCGGCTGCCGCTCGCTCTCACCCTCACACACCAACTTTCATAATATATTAAACGTAAAGGGTGAAAGCCTTTTTTGTTTACGAAGTATATACACTTAGTAAAGGCTCAAGACACCGAGGAGCTGCGGTATGGGTGCTGCTGCTCTTACACGTCATTACCCGCCAAGAGTCATGCTGGAGGGAGGAAGGGCCGGTGTCTCCACGTCGCCACATTACAAAATGAACGCATTTGCCTTGAAATAAACTTTTGAGAATACACTTTAGACTGAATTGAAGAGGGAAAATCGTAATATAAACTAATATACTGGTTATAATATAGTTAACGTTAGACAATAGTGAGCTATAGAGTCGTGTGGTGACAGCTTGTTGTCCTTGTGGCAGACCAACCCAGTATGGCCCGTCCTCTGTCACTGCTGGATCATTAATTAAATGTAGGGAATTAGGGAATATAATACACACTGTTATCAATAATATAATCAATTGGAGCAATGCGGGGAATCGAACCCTGTACTCTCCAGCCGCGCACCTTACCTGTGGAGCAGGACATGTTATATAAGCTGTGATCCCAGCAGAGGAGGCGTGGAGGCTGCTACAGGAGCCAGCCAGGACCTACAGGTAACGATACACTGTGGTGTGGGTGAAGGGGCTCTCCACCACGCTCCACCGTCAACTTCACAACACAATTACACTCGTGCCCTCGACTTGGGTACTCGCAGGCCTATGAACCTTACTATGATACAGTAAGGTTCACTACCATGCTCGTAACTATCTTATTTTGAGGTTATCTTGAGATGATTTCGGGGCTTAGCGTCCCCGCGGCCCGGTCCTTCGCCAGGCCTCTCTTTTTGTTAATCCCCCCCACCCCCAGGAAGCATTCCATAGCAGCTGTCTAGCTCTAAGGTACCTATTTACTGCTAGGTGAACAGGGGACATCAGGGTGAAAGAAATTCTGCCCATTTTTGTTTCCGCCTCCACTGGGGATCGAACACGGAACCTCAGGACTATGCATCCAAAGCGTTGTCCATTCAGCTGTCAGCCCCCGCCATGGTACCATACTTACCATGGTCGCATAGTAAGAACCTGCGATCATGACATGGCACATAGCACTTGAAAGGGACACAAAGACAAGGAGCAGTCTTTGTGGCGTAGTGGTAAGACGCTCGCCTGGCATTCCGCGAGCTCTTTGTCCTGGGTTCGTATCCTGGCCGGGGAGGATTTACTGGGCGCAAATCCTTAACTGTAGCTTCTGTTTAACTCAACAATTAAATGGGTACTTGGTTGTAACAACGATTCTTCGCGGGGGTCGTATTCTAGGGACCATAGGATTAAGGACCTGCCCGAAATGCTACGCGTACTGGTGGCTGTACAAGAATGTAACAACTCTTGTATATATTGTGATGGGAAAATGTAGGTGTAAGGCAGTCCTCCCAATAGCCGGTGTCAATGCCAATCACATTAGTAAAAAACAAAAACAAAAAAAAATTGACTGCTTGGCTGTTGCCTCCTGTGGTCAAGTAAAAGGGAAAAACATGCAAAACAAATCCTATAAACAATGAAACTATAATTGACTTTACAACAAATATAAACAAAGATAATCCCTTAGCTATG